CCACTGATTAGTAATGTATGTTACAAAACACGGAGCCCTTGATAGTACATCTACATATCTTCTTAAGCTTAACTTCAGAAATGTATTTTGTTCTACAAGGCAAGTGCAAGAGTGTCGACACAGTATTAATATTCAAAAAGATCTGTCCTATCACTGTATATCAATAGTATAGTAATGACTTTGTTTGTAATGATCTAATGGTCTGTAAGTCTGTCAATCAAATTCAGCCTGATTTATATGCACATCTCTTTTCCAAGAGACACATGAGAACGAGAAACAATCAACAACCAACAAAACAAAGACAGCATAATTACACAATACAAAAAAACTAAGAAGCACTTAGGAAAAACAGTTACAAGACTCAGAAAAAAAAACATCACATGATAGAGATTTAAAATAACCAAGGGAGACAAGACTCTAACTTAAGGACAGTTTGCAAACCAGTTCTGCCAACATAAGTGTGTACAAAAGGGATATTGAAGGTTAAGAAGTTACTGTGTTACTGTGAGGTAGTTCGGAAGTTTCAGCAGTAGAGTTTTACAAATGATATTATTCGTGTAGAGAAAATAGTCAGAGACCAAAAAGACAGTCGACATTTCAAAGGGTTTATTCAAAATTTTTTTTTACAAATCCGTACATGAACAATGCTCAGTTTGTAAACATTGTTTTCTTCTTTCATATTAGTAATACTTATAATAATGATAATAATGCTTATAAATATATAATGCTTTACATAAATAAGAATGAAACAGTGCATTAAAACAAGGTATGAATGAAATAAGACAATAAAAAGGCACTAGATGATAAATATTGTATAAATGAAAATAAAAACCAGTTAAATAAAATAAAATAAGATAGAGTGTAAGTAGATAAAAATAAAACGAGAAAATACATTAATTAAAAATAAATTAGGAGACCTCTGTCTTTTAATATTCATCAATATTACGACTAGGAGAACTGGAACTTTTGTAAGCGATAATAAGCTGCCTCACCAAAGTGCTCTGCACTGAGTTCTGCACAATGAGTTCATTGTAAATTGATTTTTTTCATATCCATGATATATTTAGCATTTTCCTTGTTTCTTGTAGGTGTATGTTGCATTACCTCAGAAATAATGACACTGTATCCTCATCACTGTACAGATGTTGCTTTTCTTTCTGCTCATTAACTCCATCCTCAGGAAGTGATAGTGTCAAAAGTTTCCTTTTTCATCATCACCTTCTCTAACAATAGTTAGAAAACACTGTAAAACACAACTAGACTTTGTAGCTTTTTCATGCAGGTCTGTTCTGAGTCACAGATTATTTGGTATCTGGGCTTTAAAGTCAAGTAATAAGTATGGTATGGTATTATTAAAGATAAAAGAACAAGATAATTGGTGTTCGGATCAATGGTTCAACCGGCCTTACCCTGAATAAATAAATGCTCAGACTCCTGCTTACACTTCAGAAAGGTTTTGACATAGAGCTGTCTGATATCCTATTTCAAGAGCCCTTCGAAGCTCAAACGAAACCAAAACACCAGATGGTGCTCTTTCTTAACTAGTGTGTGTGTGTGTGTGTGTGTGTGTGTGTGTGTGTGTGCTCTTGACAAATTCAAAGTAGGTGTCAACTGAATCAAAATCTTTAAATATGATCTGGGGCTTGTGAGACTGTACAGTGGAGTAGAGAGATCATATTATCTGATTTTTTTTTTTCATGCTCCGTTTTGATGGTACAAGTTTTATTGTTTTATCTGTTTGACCACCAAACAGGGCATTTCGAGGCTTGAGACGTGCCGATGCCTTGTAGCTTTCCATAAACTGCTGCCTATAGTCGCATCCCCACATGTCTACTACATGGAGAACATGGTATCTTTTTAAGACTGAGATTTTTTTCGTAGAACTGTCTGTTCAATACCCCACATGTGATCTTACTGACAGAGTTCTCATGACTTCGGTTATGACACTTTTCATAACCATGAAAAACAAACCCCCCGCAAATTAGTAGGCAGTGTGTGTATTAGGTGGTTGAGCGCATGGCAAATGTCAATGCCATACTTGTTAAGCTAGAAACTCGAGTTACTGTATGGAAGCGTTAATGTATGTTTTGTGTTGGTCTATGTAACTACCATCATCTGTCAAAGCCATTATGCATCATTAGGCAAGAAATTTGTTCTGTAATTACAGTGTTGTACATTTGAAGCCAGCACACCCGAGAATTTCTTCGTGGTAGACCATGCATGCCTTCCTCAACACAACAACATCATTGACACCATAGTGATGAAACTCTTGGAAGGCAAACACCTGACAGATTAATACCACTGCATGAACGCAGTCACCATCCATAACTGTGCTGTAAAAGGATCAGGGTAGGGTGCTCAGTAAAACTCATTAGCTCTGGTGTTGAGAGGGAAATATCCTTTTTCTACATCATCAAACAATACAGCTGCAAGGGTCTTTGTTAAACACATGTAAAGAAATATAAAGGAATCAATCTACCTGTGCTTGTATGCCTGATCATACATAAGAAGGACCATCGTGCCTCCCAAGGTCAGGCTTTGTAAAGTAGCCTCCTGCAATCTGCACCTGTGCTACACCACTTTTCAACTCCGAATGTGATGGCACAGACAAAATTGGGCTCGTGTCTACCATCACGGTAACGGGACTGAAACGCTGTATGTAGCGTTCGTGTTTCGTGTCACCAGCCAGGACTTCTCCACGGTGGTGACACATCTCCTTCAAACAGACCTGCCCCCTCTGGTTGTGTGTCTTTGTCTTTCTTTCTCTATATACTATAATACGTCTCTTTGAAGTGTTTGTGCAAAAGCCAATTTCTCATTTTCTGAGGTGTAGGGATAAGAAAATGTGCAAGGCACCGTGAGAAAAACAGTTTGCATTGTATCTGTATTGCCTAGCACGTAGAGACAAAGCTTTTTCTTCTTATCTGATCATATGGTGTAGCGCTTTTATTGCAAGCTATACCACAAGCAGTGCTTATTGCTTTGAAATGCTTGGGCTACCTGCTCTAAAACGGGATATGCATCAAACTCATTGTCTGTTGTCAATATTGTCTGGATCTCACTGGCGAGAGGGGGGCCACATCAGACTGAGTGACTGTGTGGCGGTGACTTCCTCTATATTATTCAGAGGGATTTCTTTTAAATCAACTGGTTGTCTGACATATATTGCATTGAAGTGCAGTATTGTCCGCACCTGTACCACCTTCTGTTTGATCACCGGCAGGCTCTATCCCATCAGTCACTCATGACAGCCACTTTCATCATAAACATGCCCAGTCTTCTTGATTTAAACTGGTATCATTCTCTGGTTCACCACAAGGGGGACCATGTAGCGCAATCATGTCAGTCAAATCTTAAGTATCAGTATACTCCTTTATATAGTGTTCACTAATGAGCATCAATAATATCATTAACCACAACAATCTCAATATAAACTCAGTCTCTCTAGGATGTCATGGTCTGTCTTAATTGGTGGTAATGGACAAAACTGCGAAGCTCGCTGCCATACGAGTATCAACGTCAGAAGCATCATCAGCACCATCAAAGACATACCATCTTCTCTCTGCATGATGACGACCAGTAACTGATTTGCGTGATTTGTATTTTTCTTGGAGGCATTATAAATTCTTATATCTAGTACACAACCATGCAGCAACGAATGCACGTGAAACAAATAGCACACGAGATGGCAACACACAGTCTGCTCACCAGTTTGGCTTTCTGTGTTACACATCATCTTGTGCGGTGACTCATTCAATCTTAGATGTGTGAGACTGGACCGTCTCTTCAGTCCAAGCAGTGGCCTCACAGTCTTCTGGATGTTGCGTTGTAAAGTAATTTTCATCCCAAAAGAAAGCACTGAGCACTTAGAATTATTCTCTAAAACTGATCAGATCATAAAAATAAAAACATGTGAGATGTTCATTTGACTTACTGTCATTCTGTTCTCTGTTGTAATGTTTTAGAGATGTATGATATTTCACCACAGTTCTGGAAGTATTGTCATTGGCCTTATCATCATTGACCAAACCTGCAACACAAAAAATAAATAATTTGTTTAACAAAACCACATATCGTGTGGTCTTGCTGTTGTTATAGTGTTTCAGTTGTTTAGGATGAACTTCTTTTCTAACTTTCTCTCGAGTTGGTTCATTAAACAAATCTACACACATACAAAACAATTGATGTTTTATATGTTGAACATTTCTTAATCTATTACTTAACTTCAAGATAAACAGAAACAAATAATAACCCGTTGGCAAAAGTATATATAAAATAACATTCAGACAATAAATCACCATTGCTAGTAGAAGCTCTTTCAGTATGCACCTATGTCTTAAGCACAGCATGGAAAATACATTTCAGTCTTTTGTACTGTTCTTTTTTACATCACAGCTTAAAAACTAATTACATTAACACAATACTACAATACTCACCATATATCAGCATCATGATGACTCCAGGAAGGATGTTCTCAGTGTAAAGCCTTGTAGAAGTAGTTTGTCATCACAGATAAAGTGTAACATAGTGTATCCTTATAATACCGTATTGCTCTGTTTTAAAATACTCCCCTTTAATTGCTAGGTCATCGTCACAGGTCACACCTTTTCAAAAAAGACATGTCATTATAATGTCTCAGCAACACAACCAGCAGGGCCCCAGGGGTCACTGAAGGGCTCCAAAGGTTGCTTGATGACCATGTAAACTGACGAGTGAGTTTATAGTATATCATTAATTAGTGCAGTACCAGAATCAGTAGGAGTGGCTCATCTGATCGTGTTTCACTCACCATCATTAGACCAAGACAACCAAAGTCATAAAATGGACATTTATTCCAAGCTAAAAAAAAAAGACTAAAACTACCCTTCATGCCATAATTTCATGTATACATTGTTCAAGTATAAGTATAAGTACCATCACATTATACATCACATTATAAAACTATGATCCTCTCCAAGGACAGACGAGCATCACTGCTTCATCTCCTGATGATGACAAACCTGTCGTCGGTCCAGTGCGATGGCAGTCAGTGTGAGAGTGGAGACGTGCAGGGAGCAGTACTGCACAAAGCGGCTGATATGACACATTGTCCTCCCAAACACCCAGGTGCTGTTCACGAATCGGACCTGAGGGAGCACACGCATGCACACACAGTTTAGATCATGCACACCTGTCAACATCCCAACCCCAACCATCCATCCATCCATCCATCCATCATTTTATGACAACTAAAGCAGTTAAACACAAAAGACCTCTAAATTAATATTTAATTGGTAATGGGAATATGCTTCCAAAGTTATTGTTTCAAAGTAAGCCATACAGGGAAAAGATAGGACCTTGATAGATACATATTCAATTCATCAGTCTGTCAAGCACACAGGCACATTGCAGGAGAGTGGGGTGGGGGGGGGGGTATGGCTTGAATTTAGCACAGCTTGGATATTTCTTAAGGGTGGAGCAAAAAAGGAAAAGGGGGAGAAGAGAAAACTGTTGAATAAAAAAAGGACAATCTTTCTCCCACATTTTTTTTGTTGTTGATTATTTCATGTTGAAAATGTATTTTTAAGAGACAATTTTGAACAATATTTGGACACAGCCTACCTATATCCACAAACAAGCACTAAAAGTTTGAGCACTTTGTTTCTTGGAAGCATAAAGCAAAGAGTCTAACAGACCCTTTTGGACTGTACACTCTACATCTCCATTAGCCGTTGACTAAGTGAACAAAGGTCACGCAGGCTACCTGTCAATTTCCAAACACTATCCAGGGTGAGAGGTGGTCTTACCAAAGTGAAAGGCGTGTTGAGGACAGTGATGAAGATGTCAGCCACGGCGAGGTTCATGATAAACAAGCTCGTGGCGGACTGGTTGCGCTTGTTTTTCACCAGCACATGGCACACCAGTGTGTTCCCGAACAGGGAGATCACGATGATCAAAGAGTAGGCGGCCACCAGCAGCACCTTCACGCTCCCCTCCTGAGACTCCCCGCCGCGGCGCTTCTTACTGGCCAGAGAGCGCCAGTCCTCCAGCATCCCCTCGTCAAAGTCCAGGAGGAAAAAGCCCGAAGTGCGGTTATCCATCTGTGCCGAAACATTAAATAAATGCTCCTTGTAGGAAAATATCCTCTCTCCCAAAAGTGAGGAATCATTGAGTCTCTGTCCCGAACCTGCAGCTATCCTTCCAGGGCTGCCCATCCAGAGGACAACACATAACCAAACACACACAGCCCTCATTTTGTCAGTGTTTTCTTTTTTCTGTTCCCTCCTTTCTTTGTATGAACTGATCTGTGTGGTCAGTCTGTGCGGCTGCCAGTTGTGCTCCGTCTCTTGTGACACTGAAGAGATGCAGAGCAACAAGTTGCGTGATGCGACTGGCGGCTGCTGTTTTAAAACCTATGCGTGTGTGTGTGTGTGTGTGTGTGTGTGTGTGTGTGTGTGTGTGTGTGTGTGTGTGTGTGTGTGTGTGTAATCCCTCAAGTCGCCTCAAGATCTAATATTCAATAAAGCCATAAATATATTAATAAAATATTCCTCTCTAGTGATATGTTAGCTTTGCATTAATTGAGCTTTTCTATTTCTATTTGAAATGTTCAGGCAAAGTTATGGAAGTCCACTCTTACTGATTTGCAGTTCTAAAACTTATGATCTCGCTCAGTTTATTGAGTATGGTATGAGCAGCGCAGTTTGTTGTTTGCCTGCAGGGTGGAGCAGCTGTTTTGAAAGTCAGATGCTGCTTCATACCAGGGGGATCTGCTTGCATTTAGGTAGAAAACAAGGAGAAACTTTTGTCTCTTCTGAGCAGAAGATTCTGGTACATCTGCTTTGACCACAGAAAACCAAATGGACTGACTGACTGACTGACTGACTGACTGACTGACTGACTGACTGACTGACTGCCAATCAGAGCAGCTCATTAAAAAAAACAGAGGAAATTAACGTGAACTAGCTCATTTTAATCAGACCTTGAGCTGTACTCGTACAGACTGATTTCCACCTCACTCTGTGCTTGTTGGGCCTGTCTCTATTATTGAGTCGCAAAGTCGCCCCAGGCAAACACAGTATATGAAACCATTCACCCTCAGGCATGTATGCACTTATATATTATGTAAAAGTGGTTTACATCCAGTTTACGTGTCCTCTCTGAAGACTTCAATACATATGTGGATCCGTCAAGTAAAATACAGTCAACAAGGCTGGACCCACTCAAGGTTCTGGCTTCATCATGCAGTAATTAGTTTGTGGTAATCTGATTAATCACAGATGTGTTTGGTAAACCTTTATGCACCACTAAAGTGCAATATAAAAGGAGTACTCCTATGATTTAACATAGCACTTGGTACATCATTGTTGGACTGGACAGTTGAAAAAAGGATTAAAATTGATGCAGAAATTATATCAACTCTTTTAATTCCTTGACAAAACCATGCTGCCTACATTATGCACAGTGCAACTCAACTGCCAGCAATTCAGTCACAGATTAGGGTGGTCTTTCTAACTCCCCACCTTTAGGTTTTTTAACTTTCACACTTCTAGTCCTCAGCCTCACTTTGGTTTGAGGACTGGAGGGAACAACCTTTTTATCATGTTGTGCTCAGACTTTGCACAGCTCCCTCTGGAGCCACAAAAACACCTGTAAACAAACTTTGATGTATAAAACACTAGTTGGTTCCCCTTTAATGTAATTTAGGGTAATTGTTATTTCAGTTTATGTTGCACTTACATGGTGTATATTCAGTGACTGGTTGATCAAGTTGCTACAAATGAAATTACTAACAATTAACTATTATACATACACACTCGATGCACAGAAAATGGGAGGAATGGGAGGTCAGCCTGGACCCCCTGCTCATATTTACACCAGAGTTCCAAAGGGGCTTGATCCAGTCCTGATAGACAGCAGTTGTATTCGCATGTGAGTAAAGTTTCACAAATCAATTTTGCAATCTTTCTGCTGTAGTAGAAAATTAAAACCAGAATGATTATTGCTCCTCTCTTGAGCTCAGACCCTGGGCTGCCAAATTCTTTAAATTAATGACTTATTTGATCACCTTTTGTAATAAATAATTGTGAAATGATTTTTGTAGTTACTTGATTTGACTGTAACTTTTGTCTACTAATAATCTGGTTGGTGGTGTGGAAGTGGAGAGTACTAAAATAGTGACAAAAACCAAACTCAAAGTGCAAACATAATGCAAAAACTCAAACACAAATTGTCTGTCATGGCAACCCATGACACTTGGAGTGATTGGTTGTGCACATCAGCCAAGAAACAAGTGCAGTTCTCTTACTGGACTGTGTTCTTATTTAGCAGGTTTTTAAACAAATATGCTACTAGAGGAGCCAAACTTTTTTTCCTGACTTTAGTTAATCATTGTAATGGGCTAATTTCTGTTTCATGTTTCTCGTAGGGCTTTCTAATGTGTTAAAAGGGAGGACGGGGTGGTAGTCACGTGGCACGTTTGCTTTACTGTGTGGTTTGAGCTTAGTTTAGCTTGATGTGAATAGGTAAATTTGATTGTCACAGAACAGTTTTGATTTGGTTTTAATTGGTTCATGTGAAGTGGTGGTGTATTCATAATTTACATATTTTGTGAGAATTCCCTCTTTTTACACATCACTCGGCAGTGGCCTCACTGATGGTTAAGCACAGGCCAACATTGTTTATTTTCTTAGATATCCTAGAGTTTCGAAGGAAGATCCTGAGGTCTAATTTTTCAGCGCAAACTTCTTTTACCAGAAGTATTATGATGACCAAGCAGCGGTGATTATTTAAGACAAAGACTTTGCCGATTGCTACTTAGTGTGGAAAATTATTCTGCAAACCTTCTGTGCTGTAACAGGTGCCCCAAATACGATGTGGATAATAAAATATATAATTTAGAATTATTGAGGAGGCCCAGATTCATGACAGTCATTTCTTATCACCATCTGAGTCACATCCTTAAACTAAAATGGCAAGTGAAGAAGTAATAATTTGTGTGAAAACAATGACTATAACAGTGTTAGAGTCATTCACACATTAATTCATTCACACAAATATCTGTTTTCTTGAGACATGGTCTTACATAATGGATGATGATAAAAGGAAGTGTGAGGACATGGGGACTTGTTTACTAATTATTTCAATAATTCATTATTTTTTTCATTATTTAAATTTTTTTACATTTTGGTCATCAAAAAAATTGTGTAGCGTGTTCTTCTTGTCCCCACAATGAAATCTGGAGTCACCATGGATCAGGCCCAGTCTTTAAGTCTATCCATCACACACAGTCTCTCAGACATCACTGATTGGATGTGATTTATAGAATGACTTAACACACATGATGAACTTGACGACGGATTTAGTTTACTGATAATCTCACTTCTTTAATCCATACAAAGACTAAAGTGTAAACAACAACACACACAACAATTCTTGTCCAAAATGTTGAATTGTTGCTTTAAGTTCTATTTTTGCTTTTATTGTTGTTGATTGTTTCCCTTTGCGAATCAACCTGGGTTTCAAAAAGTGACCTAGAAATAAAGATTATTATTATTATTATTATTAGAATGATGCATTTCTTTGCCCTATTCAACTCTGAATCATTGAATGGCAAGAATTTTGATGAAAGAGCTTCATCACTTCTCCGTATTTGGCTGATAATTAATGCAGTCTTCAAGTACAATATATGTTCCATTTTCCCAAGGACACTATTTATGATTCTGTTTTGTCATGAGTAGAAGGGATGTACATGCATTACATATGCCCTTCAATTAACTGAAGGGCAATGGCCCAACATCAGTAACCAAATTATTCCTGAAGTGTCTCTGAGTCCACGAGCATGGTGTTATGATGTTCTGACCATCCAGCAAGCGAGAAAAAAACATTAAAACAATAATAGGGATCAGAAGTATTATTTTGACTGCATCAGTACAACTTAACACTGTATTGTTATGGAGCTCTGTAGTTGCTATTTTAAATATAGTTTTACCAGCTCAAGCCCAGGCGAACATCAGATTATCAAGCAGCGCAAACGCCATGTATAACTCATTGCAATAATGAGTAGACACAGAGACATTGTGCTTACTTCATTACTGTGCTCCTATCCAACAGTGACGGAAGATGTGGCTCATGCAGTGACTAATTCTGATGACTTTTCTGGCTGGAAATGCAAATCACCTTAATGCGTTCCAAAAATCCAAGTTGTCCTCCTTTTCCTTGCAACATTTCAAAGGACCCTTTGTATAGTCTGCAAAAGGTTCAATTAGTTTCTGTAATGTTTTTTTCTCTATTGTACCACTGAATCTAGTCATTGTCAACAGATGACAACCACCCAGCACTTTTAATCATGCAGGGACAAGTAGTGCACCAGTGGCTGTTGCTAAAATTAAACACCACAGGGTTTAAAAGTAGATGTTTTGTAGTAGTAGTAGTTTTGCATTTTACTTGGTTTGATGGACATAAAACATTGCCATGTACATATGTAATATATATGGTTTATGTAGTAATTATAATGTATTTCCTTTTACAGGTAGACAAAGATGGTCTATGCACTGCATGAACAGATTAGCTAATTGTCATAGAATACATAAAAAATAACAAATCAAAGTTATTACTGAATTGTGGTTTTGCTGTTTATTTGGATGCATTGCCTTTGGGAAATTGTACCAGGATGTATTTATTAGGGCTTACTGGGTCTTGCAGCCTTTTATGTTTATGGATGTACTGAGTTGTAAATCCAGGGGTTATTATGAAAAAAAAAGCACCTGCAGAGTACGGTGTTGCAAGCTAGACATTCTGTTATTATGAATTTTCCGTCAATTTTCTGATTTACAAAAATGCCAGGCTGGTTCCATCAAACTGAGTGCATTTTATACTAATGTAGCATAATGTTGTCTAATTAAAGCCTGAGCCAGTGTCATTTGTTTGTTTTTTTGTTGTGGTGGAGCTCTCCTATAGGATTAACTCTCCATACAAATCTCCTTAGGACCACTTTAATGATGGGAAAAGCAGTGTTTTTACTTTACACCAATGTCGAGGTGTGTCATTTAAA